GACTTTAAAAGTTAATACATTCGCGACCAACCGTCACACATGTGTGACGGTGAAGTTTTCGTAAGGACTGCTGACACATATGTGTGACACCGAACTTACGTGATGAAATGTAAAATAATTTTACAACGGTTTATCACAGTAAGTCTAAATTTGGCCACAGTCCACCTAAACAATCCTTTCACACGCTATGGCTGGGTTGTGATTTGGACGTTTAAAAAAATAAGAAATAACCTGTAAATTTATGGAACGTAAATTTATAGAATGTAAACGTCGAATACGAAAAGTATCGTAATTGTGTATAATTTAGAAAGGTAATATAGAGATGTAACTTCTTTATACACCGTGTAATAACTTATTATTTATTTTAGACGTATGAACAATGTCAAAACGACATCTAAGTACACGAGACCTTCAATTAGAGGCCGAGATGGCTAGTAGGGAAGTTAGTGAGTACAGAAATGCCGAAAATATTGAATATGAATTCAAGGAGGACCATAATAATGAAATGTTTTATTCTAGTGGAAGTGAATATTCTCCTTTTCATTCTGGAAGAGAGACTAAGGATACTAGCAATGATGAGGGAGAGTCGAGCAATGACGGCGGTGAGTTGGGTAATGATGAGGGCGAAGCGAATGATGCAAGTGAAAATATGGTACAAGAAATTGATGAGGCGGACTGGTTTGATGTAGAGGAAAATATTGAGATACATCAGTTTACTGAACAAGAAAATATAAAAGTAGAAATTCCTATTGATGCAACACGTATACAATATTTTTCATTACTATTTGATGAAGAGCTTTTGATAAAAATCGTAGAGTGAACAAATCACAGAGCTGCTTCACGCAAAGAAAACCCTACTTTAAAAAAATATTCCTTTTTAAGACGCTGGATGGATATAAATATTGACGACTTAAAAAAATTTTTGGGTCTTTGCATATTAATGGGAAACATTAAACTCCCCTCCTTACGTTTATAATGAAGCACAGATCCACTATATCACTTTTTAATATGTGGAAAAACTATGCCCAGATCAAAGTTTGAAGCTATTCTTCAAAATATTTGTTTTTACAAGCCCGAAGACGTAGAAGTTCAAGATCGACTTTACAAAATTGAAAACGTTACGAGTCATATTATAAATAATATCTCAAAAGTTTACTATCCAGGAGAGAACTTAAGTCTTGACGAAGCCCTATTACTGTGGAGAGGGCGGTTAATATTCTGACAGTATATTCCAAAAAAAAAACTAGTAAATATGGAATAAAAATTTATGAGATTACTAGCTCTGATGGATTTTTACTAAATTTCCTAATCTACAGAGGCAAGGAGACAATTAGTAAATGCAAATGGGCATGCGTTTGAAGTAGTTCACAGACTTGTTACTGAATATTTAGAGAAGGGGCACACTATCTACATGGACATTTATTACAACAGTTATGAGCTTGCCAAGTTTGTACATGAAAAGAAGACCTACGGTTGTGGAACATTAAGAAAAAATAGAAAAAGTAATCCAAGAGTGTTATTCCAAAAAATTAAAGAAAGGAGAAGTCGTATGGCAAAAAAGAGGTCCAATCATAGTATTAAAATGGAAAGATAAGAGAAATGTAATAACGATTTCATCTAAGCATGATTCCGAAATGGTTGAAGTTGAAAATCGTAGAGGCCAGAAGAAGTTGAAGCCAGTAATGATTCGTGACTACAATTCCTTTATGTCGGAAATTGACAGATTTGACCAGATGACTTCATATTATGGCACACCACAAAAAACTCTGAGATGGTACATGAAAGTTTTTTTTCACTTACTAGATATTTGCATGTGGAATGGCAACTGGTTGTTAAGTAAAAATAGGAACACGTCAAAGAAAACAAGAATGTCGTACTTTCAGTTTAGAGAGGAAGTGATCAAACATTTACTGGGACAAACAGAACGGCTAAGCAGATAAAAAGTTGTTGCGGCACACAACTTGACAAAAGAAAATAAGCGGAAAAGATGACGACAGTGCAGTGCAACGAAGAAAAGGGCTGTCACCTGGTACACATGCCAGGAATGTAAGGGGAGTGATGGACAGCTAATTGAGTTATGTGTTACACCCTGTTTTGCTGAGTGGCACAGAAAAGACAATTAAACTTATACAATATGTTTTATTTTTTATTGGAAGTCATTTTAAGTTTTGTTAATATTGAATAAATAAATTATTTTTTATAAGTAATAGTTAAAAATGTTTATGTCACATATTTGTGACACTTGGGTTATGTTCAAATTTTTATTACTAAAGACCAATGTCACATATGTGTGACATTATCCAAAACATTTTTTTTATAATCCTTGTTTAATTATAATACTCCTCCCAAAAAATGGTAGATTTGGCATGTTTCTTTCATGTTTAACCAAAATCAGTTTGACTGGACAGACCTAAAAATAGGTTGGTCGCGAATGTGTTAAATTTAGGTCAAACTTATATACTTGCGTAGTCGAAATGCAAAGATTATATACAGAACAAGAAAAACTAGGTCAAGAAATAACAAAGCTTTTAAATAATTTACGAAAACTACGGAAAGAAAAACAAACGAGAGAGTACACAAACAAAAAGACAGAAACTTATGAATTGTGGAACGACTTTGAAGATCAAAACACAGAAATTAAAGAGAAGGGTTCGAGAGATAATAAATATTTTACATCTTACTTCTACGAACAAGTACAAAAAAGATATGAAGAAACGAAAAAGACTTTAGAGGAATATATTAAAAATTCGTAGAAGTCTTCGACAAAGATTAGAGCAGTCGAAATTAGGATGGGAAAACTTCATCATTTATTGGAATATAACGAAACCGATGAAGATATGCAAGAAGATTTAAAAGAAGAGGTACAAAAAACATCCCTTAATAATGGAAATAACTGTGCACAATAAACAGAATGCATTAGAAGAAGGTGAAATAGAAAGATTTTATACAATGAAAAGGAAGGTGCGGTCAATGATAAGAAAAAACAAGATATTAGAGGCGGAAGGATGCAAGAAAGACAAAATAATATTTGTCCAAGTGAAGTTACCCTGTTTTTTTGGAAGGTATGAATCCTGGGTAACATTCTATGATAGTTTTAAACGTTTGATACAAGAAAATAGCCAACTATTAAATGTGAAACAAATGCAGTATCTAAAGACAAACCTTCGAGAAGAAGCAAGTAAAATAATACAACATTTAAAGACAACAGAAGCAAACTACATTGCTGTCTGGAAAATGTTGCAAAATCGGTACGATAATCCAAGGATGAATCTATTTATATTAATACACAAGATACTTCAGGCTGCGGAGGTAAAAGAAACATCACCAAAGGCGCTGAAAACATTACATGATACTCTCCACGAATGCTTAGAAGCCATTAGTGTACTAGGTATAATGACAGAGTCCGGAATCCCTTTTATAGCAAGGATAAGCATGTAAAAGTGGGACACAGAAAGCAGGAGATTATATGAGACGTCAAATCAAGACAGTAGGGACATTCCGATATATAAGTCAACACAGAAATTCCTACAAAGAAGATTCCAGACATTGGAGATGTTGGAAACAGAAAGGAAAGGAACAGATCACTGACAACAGTTATCTTATATATCTTACATATAATTAATCAAACCAGTTTTATAAAACTGTCACCAAAATGCGTTGCCCAGACTCGAAACCTAACATTACTCACATCCCGTAACGGATTGGAAACAGCAATTGGAAGGTATTTAAAGACTCCCGTCAGTCCCATTAAAGAGCTTAGACAGAGACCAATCATAAAGCAGAACAACATTCCCAGAGACATAATATAGATATTCGGGGAGATGAGTTGCCAAATATTGTACTTGAGGCAGAGCAGTTTGACCAAGATATATCCGAACACCCGTGGAAAACCATTGCTACCCATCAGTGGATTTATCATTTAACCATGGGACTAGTCACTATATTCATCGTTGGTTTATTGTCATTATATGGAAGGTAGTCAGATATTTTTGAAACTCCAAGAGAGCCAGAAAACAAAGGCATCAAGGTTTTTGCATCCAACCTCATCCAACGCCTCGAAGACATACGGTATCACAACCAAATTTAGGTAAATCTTCGTAGATCAGTTTTATTTAATGAGATTATATTTGAATTAGACAGTGTAGCTGAAACATAAATTCTAAATAATCAAGTTATAGGTAGCACTGCTCGGGCGAGATAATAATTCAAAAACCGAGTGAAGTAGTGTTATTATTATTGATATATTAATATTTTATATTTTATTTGTATTTAAATATTGTTCTTTATAATAGTGGCCAATATGTTCAATTACAAATTAATGCCTTAATTTGTAATCTAACATTATTCTTAACTTCTTAACATTTTATAGTTTCACCGTGTACAATTGAGTCATTGTGAAAATATCGAGTAATATTTTAATAATTAAAGTCCATTCACCTGTTAATAAATTGTCGAATAATATGTTTTTCTAATTGAACTTCCTAACTTTTGCAATGACGTTCTAGATTAAATTTTAATGTAAGCTAATAGTTCAAAGTTGGTTAGTATGATAGAAACAATAACCTCGGTGCTGAGATATGAATTATTTGTGAGATTATAAATTGGGGATTTGAGCTCATGTGAGCACAGTTTATTATAAGTAGTTACCTAACGAACATCGTATAGTGTAACTACTAGTAGCTGTCAATAAAATTAACATTTTTCTGCATAACTTCAACTTTTTATTATATTTATCATCGTCGATCGACAAAAAGCGGACAAAGGGGCATTATTAAACGATTCAAATCTCATAACTACGTTCCCATCTTTCCAATATTTTTTATATAATTTAGAAATCTGTAGATTAAAAATTTATTGTCGTTTTTTCTAAGAATTCTTTGTTATTTACTATCGTATTCCATGAACTAATCAGACATAAAGGATTAAATAGACGGGTATATTCTCTTCTACCAATCACCTTAAATGAACAATTAAAATAGATATATGAATTTCTTTTCCAGTAACGGTCTACTTGATGAAGAGAGCGCCTGGGCTTCTCCGGCTTCGGGGTAAGTGAAAATCCAGTTAGAAAATCAGTTTCCCGGAAAGTTGTGTCACATATAACTGTGTAATGTACTTTCAGAACTCCACCCGAAATACAATTAGTTGAAACTTCGCCACCTGCGTTCAGGGAAAGGCCTACGATTTCAACACGGACTAGCCCTTCTCCGCCTAGGTCAGTGCTTTATTTAGACGTTAAACTTTAATTTAATTAAAAACTGCATTCAACTAAATCTTAATTAAATGTCAGCTTATTTAGGAGCTTATTGCAAAATGTTTTAGATCCTTGGAAAAACAATTAATTTAGTTTTGTTAGATTTACGTCATCAAAATAAAAGCGTATGTGCGTGTATATAGGGTAAGTTCGGGAGAGATGGCTCGTCGAGTGAGATGACTCAGTTAAATATATCGATACCTCACTTTAATAGCGTAACAAGTCCAAAATTAAAATATTGCAGAAAACGAAGAAAAAGATATTTCGTTTTTATATTCTATATAATTGATGGATTCGACCGTTACTTGATGGAAATTCATTTTATGTAACAATAAAATACTGAAAACATTGTATTCAAACTTCCACAAAATTTATTTTAAATCTTATTACTATAGCGGTTTCGGCTGATTGCTTTTCTTAAGTGGTCTATTTTTGGCATGCGTTTACATTTTATAGTCTCTAATGAAATAGGTTGAGGAGGGGAGAACTGTTTGTCTCAAGTTGATCATTTAGAATTATATCTGTGTTTTTAAGTTTGTTGATTTCCATAGATTCTAACAAGGAGAGCTTAAGGCCTTTATTTTGAATGTGAAGAATTTTAAATTCGTCACTAAAAGCATCATCGTGATCTAGAAGGTGAAGTGCGTAAGTAGAATCTGTTTTTCTATTATTAAAAGCCATTTTGTGTTCTGCTATTCATTTATTAAAGTTTCTACCAGTTTGACCGATGTAAGTTTTTGGGCAGTCGCCACATTTAAGTTTGTACACACAACTGTGTAAGTGTTTTTTATTTTGGCTCTTGTTGTTTTTGTTGTATTTGCCTAGGTTGTTATTTGTTCGTAAACACATAAAAAATAAAGAAATAACACCAGATTTCCGAAGAAATAACAACCCAGGCAAATATATCAAACACAACAAGAGCCAAAATAAAAAACACTTACACAGTGGTGTGTACAAACTTACATGTGGTGACTGCCCAAAAACTTACATCGGTCAAACTGGTAGAAACTTTAATAAACGAATAGCAGAACATAAAAGGGCTTTCAATAATAGAAAAACAGATTCTACTTACGCACTTCACCTTCTAGATCACAATCATACTTTTAATGACGAATTTAAAATTCTTCACATTCAAAATAAAGGCCTTAAGCTCTCCTTGTTATAATCTATGGAAATCAACAGATTAAAAAACACAGATATAATTCTGAATGACCAACTTGAGACAAACAGTTCTCCCCTCCTCAACCTATTTCATTAGAGACTATAAAATGTAAACGCATGCCAAAAATAGATCACTTGAGAAAGGCAATCAGCCGAAACAGCAGTGTATTATATTCTATATTTTTTTTTAATTTAAATTTTTTATAAACGAAAATATCTAATTTAGTTTTATAGGACTGTAGTCCATTTTATTACATGAAAGTATTTAGATAATATTTGTTTAAACTAACTAAAATTTAAACTTTAGTGACTTGTTACACTATTGAACTAAACTTTTTTCTTGAATTAGGTACGGCATCATTTAGCTACTTTTTGTAAATAGAGGTCTGTTTGGAGACTATAGGATTAGAAATAAAATTACCTTGTTAGAAAATCAAACTTTTAATTTGAAACAAAATTAAATAAATACAAATTATTCAGAATCTGACTCAGGCGCCTCCTCTACTCCATCTTTTTCTGGCAAATGTTGGAAAATGGCATTTTCCTTACCAAGATCCAATATATCTTTTTTTTTATTTTTATTGATTGAAGGACTTTTTTTAAAGTCTGGCTTTAGCTGGATATCCTTATTTTGTCCTTGAATTCTAAGTTCTTTATTATTTTGTTTAATGTCGATAGTCTTGAAAGTATCTTATGCATAAGAAGTTTCATAAAAAATTGTATTCGGGTGCATCTTTTCTATTTTGATAATTTTTAACTCATTCCAAATAACTGTTTTTTTTTTCCTGTATTTTTGATAAATTAGACTCCGTTTATAATAGAAACTACTAATTTTACCACAAGGAGTAGGGATAACGGCTTGAAGGTCGAAAGACAACACTTGGACGTTTTTACCTGATTGCCGATCTTGAATCTTTTTAGTATAGATAAAGAATATATATTACCGGATAGATAGGAAACTGTGTAGGTTATTTCTGGACAATGCGCCATCTGGCGGCCTTAGGAAAGCAACATCTTTTTAAAAAATCTCGTAATTCTTCAAATATAAAGATCAATTTTGAGGGTTTGGGTTTGAGTACAAAAATAAAACAAACGTTGGTTCTTTTTCTACTTTATTTTTTTTATAAACATTAATTACATTTATTTAAATGTAGTTGGTTAAACAGTGGCTATTCTGTAGTTTCTATAAATTATATCTAATACATTATCAAAAATTTTTTATTAATCTCGTCGGCATACTGCTAAAAAAATCTCATTTTGATGTTTATTGATCTAATGACTTGAATTTATAATATCGCACCCTTAGTAACGTATAGGTACAAATCCAAAATGTAGGGTAATCGCATTTAAACTTTTGCATAAGTATGATTTAAAAAAAATGCCCTATAACAACTCCTGTGTATTAAATAATTCTGAAAATGTTTAAACTTCCACCGTAGATAATGTAATAAATGTTAGATGTTTTTAAGGTTATAACAATATTTTTTACAAAATTGTCTAGTATTAATATAACTAACCATTGTCCAAATAACCCATTATATAAGCCAATAATAATAAGGTTGTAATTATTACAACCATTAACGCAACAGTTAAAAACCATAATTATTAAAATACGATGGCAAAAAACAAACAATTATTTAATCGCAACTGGAATCACTGTGTCGAATCGTCGAAACTACAATAAAAATGGCGTACTTGTTTTGTTGGTTGCGGTCTTGCACAGTTACAAAGCTTTGCTACGAATGCTACGCCCTCTGGTGTCCTTAGGAAATACAAATTTTAGAGGACTGTCACTCCTATAAGAGATACCCGAGCATGTCTTTTTAGTCGACCTAAATCTTTCTCACTTAAATGTGCTTCTCAGTTTATTTTTCTGTTCATCATTCCCATTTGTGTAACTAGTATATAAGCTGGTCTTTTTTTGGAATGTGAAATGCGATGTTTGTCTCCGTATTTAATATTTTTGAATACATATAAATTTTGGCAACCTCTTTATTATTTAACGCGCAGCTTTCCACGTAAAGGCGATACATAGTAGAAATGTTTTGACTTCCATCTAGATATTCTTTGTTTGTACGATCTCGGCAGTAATGGGATTTCTTCCTCGGAAATGAATTGATGTGGTCTCTTATTCCTTGAAGTACGTCTTCATTGATCCTTTTTTGTTTCCCATATTTTCCTCGTTGATCAGTTAATAAACAGCCATGCTTATATTTCTTTCTAGTTGTTGTAAAAATAGTCCTATTGTTAATGGCTAACGTATTCTTGAAGAAAGTTTTACATACTTGGAATACTTTGTCTTCTACTCTGAACGTATATTTTAAATTTTTAGATCTATTACTACCTTCTTTTGAATTTCTGTATACAGGCGTTATTTTAGAAACATGTGAATCAATAAAGCCTCTTGGCCTGTCAATTGAACCCAATTACCGGTAAGCTTTAAAATTATGTCTACGTTGATCTTCAGATATTTTAGTAGCACATTTTAGTCGGTAGTTATCGTTACATAAAGGTATTTTTTTTGTTTAGGCTTGGACAATTGTCATTCAGCCAGTCTCAATCAAGATAAGTTTATTAATGTAGTGTGTGTGTGTGTGTGTGTGTGTGTGTGTGTAGAGTAATTGTCTTGATACTTAGCAAAGTCGACGTCATTGTCTGTGCTAAGAGACGCTAATTGTATCCGAAAGTCTGCGGTCCCTCCGGTGAGTACCGATCACACAAGGATAGAAAGTATTTTCATTCATTAATTTTTTTAATAAACGAAAATTTCTCCACCCAGGTGAGATTCGAACTCACGATCTTTAGGTTTAAAGGTAGGCGCTCTTACCACTGAGCCACAGAGGGGGTTATTACATAAAGTTAACATTTGTCTTTTTTTAATTTTCTTATTTGCTGTATTGATATACTCTTCTCCCAAATTTTGTTTTCTTTTCTTGATATTTTTCCCCACTTTTCAGAATAACTTAATCTTTTCCTGGTCAATTTTTTAGTTTGTAATAAATTCACATTTACAATATTGTCGTCACTGTCTATCTCTGAATTACTAGACGTTTAAGTGTCATTCACATCATAATCGGCCGGCGATAAGTAATTTTTATAGGCGATGCTGTCGTCACTGTCTTCAACAATACTACTTGTATCACCATCCTAGAACAGATGGAAAAATATAATTACTTACGTATAATAAATTTTATTATACATAATTTACAAAAATAAACTATTTTAAATGGAAAATAAGCTACAATTTAATTAAAAAAATGATTTTATTAACGTTTCGATGTCCAGATCGGACGTCGTTGTCAAAATCCAAAATATTAATTATTAATATTTTGAACACGACGTCAGATCTGGCCATCGAAACGTTAATAAAATCATATTTTTAGTCAAACTGCGGCTTATTTCCCATTTAGAATAGTTAATTGCAAAAATGCCACAAATACATAGCTTCAGATCCATATAAAAATAAAAAACTAATACATACCTAATTATTTTTCTCTGTAGATTTAGTACTATTTGTTTCTTGTAAATTATCATCGAGCAATAAATTATTGTCTTCTGAATCAACCAAGTTGTTAGATAAACAGTTAACTGAAGCCTTCGCCTCCACATTATTATTTCTAACCATTTTTTCGATTACTACATTACCAGCAGCATCCAGATTTTAAATATCTTTCAGTGCATATTTACTATTAATTACAATTTAACTGGAAATAAGCCACAATTAAAGATAAAAATACGTTTATTGACGTTTCAATTTCCACTTCGGAAATCGTTCTCAAAATACAAACAGTAAATTAAAT